TTAGGGGAAAACATCGCTTGTAAGTGTTAACTACATGGTATGGTGCATTTGATCGCTTTCTGGCAATGTAACTACTACGAAACCGCTCATCAAATGGTACTGTACATTTCAGTATGACCCCCCTCCCTTTTTGGACGCCTGGATCCGCCTATTATAGCAAAAACGTGTCAAAAGAGGATGCACAATAACTTTGTATATGTTATCACATGATACCTTTTATTCACTGTTCGTAAAACTGGTGCATACAGTTAAAATACATCAGCATCGTGATCTTCGCCCAAATGACTCGCTTCACGAATAGGACCCCCCAATTCCCAGTGCTCTGGAGCCGCCCCTGGTAAAGGTATGAACTTGAAATTTTCAGGGAATGTGCCCAATTTAGTTTTAGGAAAAGTCAGAAAATTTCAGCATCGTAGCTTCAGCGGTTTCGGAGATATTCCCGAAAAAAACTGAGGGCTGGATGAAAACAACCCCCCTGCCACTAATAGGGTTAAGGCATATCTTGAAGGTCACACACAAAGCGTTTCAATGACCGATGAACTCCAGCGCAGGGTACTGTCACGACCACTCCCTAACACTATGGGCGTGTTTCAAGTCTCGGCCCTGGGTCCTCTTTTATTCACGATTTTCTCAAACGATCTGGCGCTTTACGCCGATGACGCATGCGTTTTCCAATATGCAGATGATACCCAGCTTCTAGTGAGTGGTCCAAAAAAACATGTAAGTGGCCTTATCTCGCGCATGGAGGCCTCACTAGAAACACTGAGCAAATGATTCCACTCAAACGCCCTGAAGGATAACGCGGCAAAACGCAACTCATGATATTCGGCAGCCGTCAAAATCTTAAAACACTTGCCCCCAGTCCACAGTGATGCAAATGGGGTTCACGAGTGGCCATAAATACCCAAAAGTCAAGTTAACCAAATCGAGTTAATTGCGATATGGCCGAGTAGACAAATGTTTGGGGCATCTGAAATCACACGGTTTTCATGTTTTTGTCAAAACCGGCCTCGTGTATAATCGTCAGAAGTCGTGACATTTTCTATGTCGTAAAATGACGGTCAGACACTCGCAAGTTCAAACGCAGCTGGTTTGCGTTCATTTCGTACAAATTGAAAAAATTATGCATGGGAATGATCCCGAAAGCCTTCTGATTCTAATGCCGGGTCACAAAAAGCCGTATCTCATTCGCTTTGGCGGTAATCTGACTATTTATCATCATGTTGCAATCGCAGTTTTTTACTAAGAAAAAAATGCTTTCGTTTCACCTACAGCACTTAACACAGTGTGTGCCCGTTAGTCCACCATACCATAGCCTTCCCCAATCATTTCTGAGTCGCATCGTGAAAGAATTAAGGTGCTAGCACGGGGCTGACCGGCGCTACAGAGGTTTTTGTCCGGGCGGTCGGGTGCCGCAGTGGGCGCGCAGTGGGCGGGTGGGTGCCGCCGCGCGGCGTCCGGGCGGCGCGGCGGCGCGGCCGCCCGGGCCGTCCGCTGCGCCGCGGCACCCGACCGTGCCGGACGAAAACTTCTGTAGCGCCGGTCAGCCCTGTGCTAGCGCCTTAATTTTTTCACTATGCGACTCAGAAATGATTAGGGAATGCTATGATATGGTGCACTAACGGGCACACACTGTGCAAAATGCTGTAGGTGAATTGAAAGCAAATATTTTTGGTAAAAAACTGCGGTTGCAACATGATTACAAATAGTTAGCTCACCGCCAAACCAAAATAGATACGGCTTTTTATGACGTGGCATTAGAAGCAGCAGGTTTCGGGGATCATTTTCATGTATAATTTTTGCAGTTTGTATGACATGAACGCACGCTAGCGGCACTTGAATTTCAAGTACCTGACAGTTATTTTACATCAAAAATGTCTCGACTTCTGACAATCATACACGAGGCCGGTTTTGACAAAAACATTAAAATCATACTTTTTCAGACACCCCAAACATTTGCCTGACTGACCATATTACGATTTATTCGATTAAGTGAACTTGAATTTTGGGCCTTTTTCGTATTTATGGCCACTCGTGAACCCCATTTGCATCACTGTGCAGTCGTCGTATCGTTTCGTGACCGGTGACGCGGAGCTGGAACCATGTGCGCAGGCAGGAAACCTCGGCGTGGTCTTTGACAGCTGGGGCATTCCACGATAGATCGTACCACTTTTTTCTAATTTGACAACCTCATCTCTCGAAATTTGACGAGAATTGGTCTCAGGGGTAATCAGGGGCTCTGAATCCACCTGTAACAGTTTCAAGCTTATCAGATGACTATTTTTTTAGTTATGGTGCATCACATTTTTTTATCTTGCTTTGCAGCGCTAAGTTTGGCGGGCTGTAACTCTAAGACGGATTATTCAAATGCCAAATGTTATATAACAATGAACTTGCGATGAAACAGATATTAATATGTATTTTTGAGATTTCGAAAAATACGCTATTTTTGATATATGACATATCGAGTTTTCTTTCATTTGTATTTTTTTGGACTTTGGGGCAATTTTTTTAATTTTTATTTATTCAAAAAAAAAATATTTGGCTCATTGTTAAGAAGTATGCAAAAAATTAGGAAGGTGTTCTTTCTATAAATGTATTTATTTTGCGTCACGATAACGGTTTCGAGTAGTGATTTCGGGAATGGCGTGGTAAAGCTGCCTAGTGACATCACGGGTTACTGAAATTTCAATTGAAGTCTAAGTCATCTGAAAAAAATGAAAAGAGGGTTCATCCAACCCTTTTTCCTATAAGCGCGAGAGTGAAAAAGGCTGTTTGGTTCTGACATTGTTTTGGACGCCAATGACCATAGCTGTCCGAGATGAAGGTTACAGGACGCATACATGGTGTCCTCCAGAGGTCTCACAACTTGTAAAGCTGGGAATTTTTTAAGGTTACACGAGGTCAGGTCGGTCACGTGACATCACTGTTATAAGTCGATGGGGGAAATATAAAAACTGTTATTTTGGCGCCGATAATGATCTAAAACTATCTCACGTACATGGTATCGTGATTTCATGCACTCCTTGCAAAGTCCAATGCTTCACTTTTGCATTGATAACCTTGCGTGACGTCATTTATGGCGTCACTAGGGTCGTACGAGTTTTTCGTCAATAACTCCCAATCAAATTGAGCTAGAGTCGGGAAAGCCACCAATCGGGGAGACCTTCCGAATCGAATGATATGCCATATGATACCCTTTGCCCAACTTCGTGACCTGAGGGGCTCTGACCTGACCTTGGCCCAAGGTCAGCTACTTAAGTTGACCTCACCCTAGCAAAAAGTATACCATTCGACGCACCTGAGCTAGGCGAACACAATGATGCCAAAATCGCGGCTCTGCGGCCATTTTTTGCGAAGTTATTTACTAAAAACCGAACCCGTAACTTCAGTCACTTGACCTGACCTCAGACGCTACCGGTTAACCTGAGACCTTAAAATCGGGTACCAATCGCTGCGACTTGTAACGGCACACACGCTCTTTTTTCCGCGAGGCTCTAGCTCTATTAGAAGCGAAACGGCGTGCTGGGGTCGTATCAACCCCTCCGAAACCCATTTTGTTTGCGGGAAAATGAGGAACTTATAGAAAGAACACCTTTCTAATTTTTTGCATGTCGATTCGCAATGACATGAAGCTTATTTTGAAAAAATGAAAATGTGAAAAAATTTTGGTCCCAAAAGTCATTAGAGGCAAATGAAAAAAGATTAAGGTTTTTGCGCAACAATGAAAAATTTTCTTTGGAATTTTTAAACGGTTATATTAATTTTTGATTCATCGCAAGCTTAGTGTTGTTTACTGTTTGTTGGTTGCTTAACCCGTTCTTGAGTTATAGGCCATCAAACTCCCCGTTACAAACCGAAGTTTTAAAAAATGTAATTAATGCAATATAACTCAAAAAGTTTTGATCTGAGAAGTCTGATATTTTGCCAGGCGTCTTTGGGGCCTATGATCACCCCTAGAACCGATTTTCATTAAAATCTGAGAGATGAGGGTGACGGGCCTGGTACGATCTATCGTGGAATGCCCCAGCTGTCTGACCTGGGAAGCCCATGTATCTGAGCTCAGCCGGAGGTGTATGGGCCTTGTTGCGTATTTTACATGTATTTAGTGGTGCTGTTTCAGTACGATGGCGGCGCGGTGGGGCAGTAGCGACGCATTACCCGGAAGGACAGATTGGTGACGATGGTCTATGGGGGAAGGATCATGGGGACCGATGATGTTTTTTGGTCCTGAGTGTGCAGAATATGTTTGAAGCAGAATATGTTTGGCTGATGAATAGACCTGCTGATTCCTCCAAATCTTTTTACGTGCTCGGGCCTTGCTGACTCTGATTCCCCGACATTTTGGTGTCGTGAAACCCGAGGATTTGGTTGGAAAGGTCACAGCCAAGGTCAATCACGATGTCTGAGGAAAGAGCAAGAAAGGCAGCTAAAGGGTGGCTTACCCGTGCTGGTAAGAAGCTGCAGGATCTGCTTTCTGTTCCAGCTGAAAACAGGAAGTCTGAGTGGCGGCTGGAAGCGTCTAGTGCGCTCACAGAGTTCGGCAAGAGGTTGGATGCGTTTGACATTGCGCAGACAGCTGTTGAGGCAGTGATAGATGAGGATAGCCTCTATGATGACATCGAGAAATCTGGCCTCTTCCGAGATGAGCAGATTAGGCATCAAACGCGTCTCAGCCTGGCAGTTTCTGATGCTGAAGCTGCAAGTGAGAGTGATGGAACTCAGGCCGCAAAAGTGAAGCTGCCAAAACTGGACCTGCCTGATTTCGATGGGCGGGTGGACAAGTGGCTCTATTTTTGGGAGTCGTTTGATGCGTGCGTCAATCAGTCTGCATTACCTGAGGTGCAAAAGTTCTCGTACCTTAGAGCCTTGCTGAAGGGCAAAGCAGCTCGCTCAGTAGCAGGACTGAAAGTGGCTGCCTGCAGCTGTCGAGATTTTGAAGCAAAGGTATGGGCGGCCCGAGAAGCAGATCTTTCATCGTGCGCAGGGGCTGCTGAATCCTGAGGGCGGTGACCTTGGTGCCCTCCAGGACTCCCTGATGGCTCACATTCGTAGCCTGGAGTCTCTTGGTGTAGACAGGGACAGGTATGGGGTGGTGCTAACACCTCTAGTGCTCTCCAAGCTACCAGAAGAGGTGCGGCTCGAATGGGCGAGAACCTCTGAAGGGAAAGAAGGGGATCTTACACACCTGCTGACCTTCCTGAATGATGAAATAAGTCGTCGTGAGAGATCTGGACATTGTATGGAGCTGGCGGGTGTACCAGCTGCTGTTCCTGCCCTCTCTGGGACAGGCGCGACTCCAAGAAGGTCATCTCGGCGAGCTCCTGAGGCTCGTGGCCCAGCTGCTCCTGCCACCGGCTCATCTTCAAGGAGCTCGAGGGATCACAGCCTCCGTCAACCTGCTGCAGCTGCCCTGGCTGCTCCCACCAGGGAGGCAGTGGCCTGCTGCGGCTTCTGCCAGCGTCAGCATCGAACAGATAGGTGCCCAGACTGGCTGATGCTCAGACGCAGAGACAGGTTCCAACAAGTCAAAGTAAGTGGACTCTGTTTTGCTTGTCTGGGGTCAGGGCACAGTGCTCGAACGTGTAAAGCCAGGTGTGCACAGTGTAAGGGGAGACACCATGTGACATGCTGTCTGCAACTGGAGAACTCTGATGATGTGGATGCAAAACCTGCTGCCAGTGTGGCTGTTGGGAGAGTGGGTTCAGGGGTAGGGTTTGTGGGCCCCAGTCCCTCCCAGGGTGCGTCCAGTGTGACCAACCCTGCACGCAGTGTGGGTTTTGGCGGAGGAGGTACTAGAAGGGAGGGGTCAGGGGTGGGACCCTACCCTGGGATGGGCCCCAGTCCTCCGCCAGGGATGTCCCTGTCATGTAACACCGGTGGGAAGTGTACATTCTTACCAACTGCCACTGTTGATGTCATGTCTGAGTCTGGGCCTGTGAAGGCTCAGCTGATATTTGACTCTGGCTCTGACCGGACCTATGTCTCTGAGCGGCTGATGAAGAAGGTGTCTGGTCAGTGGAAGGGTACTGTTGAAATGACCTATGCTGCCTTTGGGGGTGGAAAGTCGAGTGGTGTATGTAACATGTATGAGCTTGAACTGACTGGTGCCAATCTGCCTGTGCCTATACTGCAAAGGATCCAGGCTGTGGAGGTGCCCGTGATCAGTGCTCCTCTGATGCGTCCAACTGTGGAGGCGCATCTCCTTCAGTCCTTCCGACACGTGGAGATGGCTGACGACTTCTCGGCTGAGACCCCACTCCAGATCGACATCTTGATTGGTCAGGACTGCTACTGGTCTATGGTGAGAACAGGGCTGATCAGGAGCCCAGAGGGACTAGTAGCTCAGGAGACGGCATTTGGTTGGGTACTGTCTGGCCTGGCTGAAGGGTCTTCTGGTGTCACTGGGCGAGGAATCCCTACCTGTCAACTGCTAACAGTCACTGATGTGCCTGGGTCGCTGAGGAACTTGTGGTCACTGGAGGGGTTTGGTATTGATGACAGTCCCTGTGCTGAGTCCAGTGTACTAACCGAGTTCACAAACAGTGTCCGCCAGTGTGATGATGGTAGATATGAGGTTGAACTACCGAGGCGGAAGGATGGGTCAGTGTCCCTCCTACAGGATAACCGTGGCATCGCTGAGTCGCGCCTGGCCAGTCTCTCTCGTAGACTTAACAGAGATCCTGGTCTGAAGGGCAAGTATGATGCTGTCATCCAGGATATGGAGGAGCAGGGGGTGATTCATGAGGTTCCCCCAGAGGAGATGGCGACTGACAATCCTGTCTTTTACCTGCCCCACAGGCCAGTGGTTAAAGCAGGGAGCACCACCACCAAGGTGCGTCCCGTTTTCGACGCTTCAGCGAAAGGCTCCAGTGGACTGTCTCTGAATGACTGTGTAGAGATCGGGCCTCCGCTGACCCCCACTGTGCTGGATGTTCTGCTGCGCTTCAGGAGATAGAAGTTCGGCATCTCTGCTGACATTGTGAAAGCCTTCCTGCAGATCCGGCTGGCTGAGTAAACCTGTACCTCTAGTCTACTATTATAAATCTTAAAAAGTCCGCCGCCGCCGTCGGGGTTACGCCCAAAAACGCTCACTGCAAAGCCGTCGATTGATGCAGGAGGGTGAAATTTTCACGACTCGTGGGTCACGTCATTCAACAGGTCGTATTAAATTACGGTTCGCGGGGGCGCTTGAACGCAAGGTGCGTTTTTCTCTTTTTTTTTGAAAAGCTGATGTAATTTTGTAAAGTGTTATCCCGCGCCCGGGCCGGTGCTCCGGCCTCTGCGACTTCCGCGCCGCCGTTTTTTGAGATATCTGCGAAAAACTGCAGGGAGGGGTGGTTCAAACACCGCCCCCCGGGCCCGGCGCGGGTTAACGTAGTGTCCTGTACCTGTTTAACTGCGACTGTTTGCTTTGCCTTGCTATTGTGGTATTGCTAGGTGGTTGCAAACTTCACCTGATTGTTACGTGCGTGAGAATTCACGTCTGCTCATGAGTCGCCATTTCACATGCTTTCGGGGCGTAATGGGATGCTTGGGGCAGTTGGAAGTGGGGATGCTTAGGGCTATCTGTAAGCTACACATCAGATAGTAGGTAAATGATATGAAGATGGTGCATACATTATCGTTAAATGGTAAACTACGCGTCTAAAACTGCCTTACTATAGCACAAATGAATGCATTTTCAGATTGGTAGGTAGTAAGTTCAGTTCGCTCCGCGCAGCGCCACGGTGCGCAGCGCTGCGGCTCTCCTTCGCCCGAAACCATCAGCTTTTACCTGCGGAGTGTGTGTGGGTGTGTGAACCATTGAATGACTGCTTAATGTGGAGTGCCAATCTAATGTAATCGGGCATCGTAACGAAAGCGAATGTGAAGAAATTTGTAAGCGGTTAACGCCCAAACTTGAGCGACAGCCGTCCACACGAGTATTTGAGCCTCGTACGTGAGCGCGTGTGAGTGTGTGAACTGTGTAGAAATGGTAGCCAATCTGTCATTTATTTTAGCTTGTGTTTGACGTGCCGATGTGAAAAGCCACAGCGTGAAGTGGATCATTCGTTAACCCGCGCCCCACTGGGGGGGGGCTATTTATAGCCCCCCCTCCCGTTTTTCTGCAATAACTTTCAAACCGCTTGACGAATCGACGCCAAACTTTCAGTACCTTCGGCTGCATCAATTTGACACCTTGTATCAAAATTTGAACTTCGTAGCTACCATAGGTCGGCCGGAAATGACGTCAGAGTGACGTCATGTTCGTCCGATTTCGACGCAAAACATTGAACCACGGCAATCGCTCCCAAGAGCTCAGTTTTTAAGCTAGATCCAATTTCTTTGCATTAAAGAACTCAAAATTGACCGCGCTATCAAACTGCTATCTCGGATTTTCGAAATTTTGAAAATTTCGAAAATTTTATATAATAATATTCAAAATTTACATTTTTACATTTTTTTCAAAAAGTTTTTGACTTTTCGAAAAAACCGGAATATATGTGACAGAACGCATGATTATGACTAACTCTAGCAAGTTTTAGCTAAATATCTTCAAAAATGGCCAAGTTATACGCATTATTGCAAAAAATTCACAATTATTAATTTTTCAAATCAATTTTTCAGTACGTATTTGGCATCGTACACCAATATAAATGGCACCATCGTGTTCCTGAGCTCAAACTGCATCCAATAGACACCTTTTTTGTTGAAAAATTTCAACTTCAAAATTTGACCTTTTTTGACCTGAAAGTGACCTGACCTAAGCTAATTTCGACTCAAAATGACCTTGAATGACACAGACGACATCAAATTCGAAATCTATGGCCTAAATGGACCATAAAACATGTGTCACGTGACCGACGCATGATATAATATTTTCGTGACCTGTGATGACCTGACCCTGACCTGAAAATCAAAGTACAAGTTTGGTACCCTCAAGGTATCTAGAGCATCTGTTCACGAGTGTGGAAACCAAAAATGAGCCTGATCTGACTTGTAAGACGGCGGCCAGAGCCCAAAATGTGAACAAGCCAAAGTGCTGATAATTTTTACTTTGACCTGACCTGTGACGTCATCGGTGACCTCGAGGTCAATGAAATTAGGTTTCGCTCGACAGTTTTTCCGGGGCTATCAGACGCCGTTTGAATTTTGACGATCGGCCCAGTAGTTTTGGAGTTAGGAGGGGGGGCTATGAATAGCCCCCCCCCCAGTAGGGCGTGTTATACACAGACCCCAGTGGGGCGCGGGTTAACCCGCGCCCTGCTGGGGGGGGGGGGTGTTTGAACACCCCCCTTGTGTTTTTTTTTTTCGCGCCGCCGTTTTTGGTACACCTTATCATACATCAATTCTACACATGTTGTGAAAATTTCAGATCAAGGTCATTCAAGGTCAGGTCACCAGGTCACTTGAAGTGACCTCACCTCATAAAAAGTTTCAATGTCTGTCATATCTACACCGAGTGACCGATCGCTTTGAAACTTTCAGCGATTGCTAAGAGCAATAGCATGTACAAAATGATTATCTCAGAATTTTGATATCGGTGACCTAAGGTCAGGTCAATTTTGCGACCTCCCCATTATAAGTCAATGGGAGAAAATTGAAATGCGCCTCTTTTGGACGAAAGACATTGTAAACACTCCCAAACACCGAATTACAAGTGGTTGAGACACACAGAACATGAAAATGGTGTCCGTGACCCCTGTTTATGCCCTGAGGTCATCTTAGGTCACGAATAGTATCTAGCAGTTTTTCGCAAATAACTTTTGATAGAGGCATGCTAGAGCGATGAAAACGCCTTAGATGTGTTCAGCTCGACGATACGGATCGACTGATATGCAATATGACCCTTTCCGGTCAGGTCATGACCTTGACCTGAGGTCAAATTTTCAAGTTGACCTTTCAAGGTCAAGTTATAGTTCATTCGATGCGTCTTGACGAGAGGAACACGATGCCGGTAAAATAAAGCTCGTACAAGGCTTGGGTCAAAAGTTATTGCAGAAAAACTGCTTCCGAAAAAAATCGGCTATTTTTGCAGTTTTTGCCCCCTGCAGGCAAAACCGTTGACGTTAGGTCAAATCTGGGAGAATTACTCAGAAAGGGCGTTAATAGGGCTATCGAATGCGCTTTTCCGCGGCGCTGTAGCTCTATTGGTTCCCGAGTTATGCGTTGGCTTCTTGGAAATTGTCGACATTCGACCTGGAAATCGGCGAAATTTTGCCTTCAATGACCTCTGGTGACCTGACCTTTGACCTGACCAAAAAATTGACCGAAGTTATTTCGTCTTTACTTTTTACGCTCTTTCGAACGCCGCTTTCCGCGTATCGCTACGTGGCCCAGGAGCCGAGTTACAAGGGGGTGTTCAAACACCCCCCCCCCCCCCAGCAGGGCGTGGAAATCCAGGACCCCCAGCCGGGCGCGGGTTAATAAATATTCTGATTCTGATTCTGATTCTAGTAAGGCTGGTATACGGGCGTGTGTGTATGAGGAGGAGGCCAGGGAGTTCCCAGAACAAGGTTTTGTCTCCCATAGTATAGTGAAAGGAGTGATATTGAACATATGTGACGTTTTGGCATCAATACAATGAAATCACATTGTGTCTGAATGAAGCTGTGACATAACGGGGTCCCCGGACCGTCCGAAGCTGCCCTCCCTCTGCCTGACTTCACCCCACAGATGGGGTATTTTTGGACATTTGACATCATTAGACATTTCCATGTCACATATCTTTGCATTTCAAGCCAACTCCTTTATTTTGCGGTGTTTATGAAGGCCACACATGGGCCCAACAGGGGCACTATTTGCAGTTCACCGGAGTCGGACCTGAATAGTTACTGAGCAAATGACGTCTAAGAATAAGTTTCCGGGCCATGCCCACCTTCCCCTACATCCGTTGACCGTCAATATCAGGTTGGCCTAGCCATTTGCATTAAAAACGAACTGGCTGATACTTCACTGTAAACAGATAACGATGCAAGCATACACATGAAATATGGAATGGTGATTGATGAGGACCTATGTACAGGTCTCGCGGGTTTTAGCGGTAGGTTTTGCACCTACAAAATTTAGTGTACTTCAGGCTATATCTTTATCGTCATAAGCGTTTGAGTGTTGAAGATGCGATCGGCTTGTTGGGTAACAAGCCGGCCATGATCGTGTAAAATGGCTTCATCGTAGATCGATTAGTTTCTGAGATATAGGTAACCAGAAATGTAAAAGTGCAAAACCTACCCCTTAATATCGCTAGAGCCGTACTGATAGTTATACTAACACAATGCAGTTTTGTCTAAAAGAATAGCATGTGAGGTCTGCCTTAGCTCTGGGCACCCCCAACCATTTTCATAAATTGACACCCCAGTTGGGGAAACTACGAGGAGCCAAACAAAAATTGGATTAGCCAATCAATGGCTGGAGTGGGCGGGGCGATGACCATAATATATGGTCATAAATCAGACAACTTCATCTTTTCAATGAATCCTAGCATTCTAATGAAAAAATAAGGCATAAGAATGTTTTTTAACCACACAAGGCCTACACTCACTCGGTGCATAATTAACTGGCGGCTCTAAATCGCAGAGTTACACTGCAAGGTCAAACAGTGATTGGCAAATATGGCGGATTGAAACAGACGCGCCAAAAAAAAAAATGTAAGCAGTACCGTTGTTTAAAAATGTCATTTTTTATGGTTTTTCTACTTGTGGTTAAGTTATTATTTTAAATTAAATATCTTTGTTTATTGTACCGTAAAATGGGGTGTTAAGGGACAGCGGGGTGATAAGGGACAGTTGCGTGGGAAAAACTTTGAGTCATATTATGTTCCTAATTTGAGGTTAAAGGGACTGTCCCACCTTAACATTAGAATTGAGTTGAGATAGCCATCTTGATGGGCGTTCTTTGAAAATCAGAGTCGTGAAAACCGTTTCTC